GGAACCGGACCAGTAATTGCTATTTGACCACCTGGAGGGGTCATGCCAAACATAGGGGAGAAAGAGGGCCCTACCGGCGACGGCGTCACGGAGGGGCCCGTAACCAAAGGGGGATCTACAGTGAACTGAGGCTGTCTCATCAATGGACAAGGAACCTGCAGTGCAGCCATAATCTATCTCTCGCCTGCCACTAGTTCAGCCAGCACGTCCTGCTGGACAACCTGCGTTTCAGCCACACACAAAAGCGAGTTACGCAATGCTTGCATAGCAGGGTCTAGTGTCGACTCATCTAATGCTTCTAATCTACTTAGCTCCTGTTTCCTACTCCCTACTCTAGCTTTCCTCAATATCGCTTTTCGTCTCCTCTCTGCTGCCTCTCCCAACTGTCGTTGCAGCTCATCATGAAGTTATTCTGCCTGGCGGATCTCATAATCTTCCGGTGTGAGTTGAGTCTGTTGGCTGACTTGCAAGCCAACAGCCTGGCTAACGGAAACCTGGGAAACACTCTGACTGATTCCTGACAAAGAGGCCTGAGAAGAGGCCTGTGACATGGTAGAAGAGGTAGCCATAGTCCCACATGTGCTAGCTATACTCCTAGCCCTGGCAATGGCCTCAGCGTCCCTCGTCCTCCGCAATGCCGCCCTCTCCCTAGCTTCTCTCTGCAGCCTCCTTTCCTCTCCTAGACCTAACTCTAGGAAGGTCAAAGGTTGACTGAGAGCAGTTCTACGAGTGACCCTAAGATCTTCCACTAACTCCTCCTCCTCACTACTAGCAGCTTCACTCATGAGCTACCGTGGAGTGTGATCTAAACTAGAATCCACACTGAATACTACCTTAGCGTGACACCCAACTGAGTATGATTAACAACTATTTTCGGTCAGCCTGGAGAGAAACAGTTCGGTGATCAATAACAACTAATGTCAGATCCTACAGGTAACACTAGTTCTATTTTTAGATTACTCTTATACAGATTGCAATGCAGCAAGGGAGTTACTATCCTATCTGCATCTACCTGTCAGTTGTCAGCAAGTCTGTACAACTAAATAATCAAAAATAAAAATAACGTCACCTGCAGAGATGCATGCTGGATGGAATATTTTCCCAATTAATAATACTGTGAGCAGCTACCGGAATCCCCCCCTCTCCATGTATCCTTCTTGATTGGTCACTTTGTGTCAACGCCCTGAGCAACCGGTTGAGCAGTGTGTCTAAAGGTGTCCCACCCCTGTGCCCCAAGTCTCTGCCAAACCTGCCAGCCCCTGCACATTGTTTACCCTTGCATGCAACTACTCTTACATCCGGTTTGATCTGGCTGATCAAGAGGCAGTTTAAGGACAGCCCCCAAGGTCCTCAATAATTATTTAACGTCGCAGACAGGACGACGATCACAGCCAGGGTTCAACACCGGAACCCGCCAGAAATATTTAGAGACGGTCTGGTAAGCGTCTGTTCAAAGGGCTGGCATGCCCTGCATGACCTCTATTGCGCAGCAGCAGAACCAACGACTTGCGGCAAAGCATGTGTGTACTAGTCCCAGCGGGTTGGCATGGTGACCGTGACCCGAGTGCTTCCTCCAAGGCCCTTCTGAGGCTTCACCCGTCTCTCACCAGCTTGCTGCCCAGGAAGAATGTCGACTCTCAATTCGCGACACCTCACATTGAGAGGGCTCTCAAGACAGAACTCACTTCCTCACGGTAAGAAGTAATGAAGAGGGTAGATAAGGAAGAGAGCAACGTACCTCATAATGCTGCTCCCACATATTTCTCACCGGGAACCCGATGTGCATTTATGGTGACCGGTCTTTGCCTCGGCACAACCAACAACAGAATGCCGTTCCACCTCAGCTTAAATGCCACATCAGCGAGCTCTCATCATCCAGCGTACACCCCTAATGTCACCACATAGCTTCCTGGCGCGTCCACACGACCCTGGGCCGCCTATCATTCAACACCCAAGCCTTATTACTGGCCCACACTTCATGCGAAGCACCAAACAGCTATTGCGAAGAATCAATGAAGCACAGTTCGAACCAGCTCCGATACCAAATAGCAAGGAAAATGAGCAATAGTGAGATGACAATATCCAGAATGCACCATCACATTGAAGGCCAGATAGTAGCACAGTGTCCAGAATGCAGAAATGCACCAATATAACACCAATGAAGAATCGTAACACTGAAAACCAATGTCAATGAGAGCTTGCTCTCGCCACCACCAACATGAGTGGCCAGGCCCTGCGCCTCACTGTAGTCCAAGCCCAACCAGCTATGGAGGCTGGGCTATGGTGCTGCCCTCAGCAGCACCCTGCTCCCTGCACGACCGCACGCGCTAGCACCTTGCCTCTCAGCGCCAGCAGCTGCCCACGAGCGTTCGCTCCAGCAGCGCTGCCGCCAGCACGCAAGTGCTGAATGAAGCTCCAGGCAGCGAACTCTTTCCTATATGGAATGAGCCTGCCTGCCTTCGCAGCCTGGCTGGCCTGGGCCTCGGCCCAAAAGCTTCCGGTAGGCCCCAGGAGGCTGTGCCTCTGGTGCAGCCACTGGGCCTCGTTCAGTTGGGCCTCCCAACTGTCTGTGTATGAGGCTGCAATTCTTGCCCAGGGCCTGCATTTTCGGAAAGGCCTGAAAGACCGTGGGATGTCTTCGCTGCTCGGCCTGTGTTTCCCTCAACCAATTGGCGCGTCACAACTGCCTGGCCCCCAGTTACGAAATTGACAGCTGAGGGCCTCTTGTGATTTGTTAGGCCCGCGTTCACTTAGGGCCCGACTTGGGAAAGGAACTTGTTCCAGTGCCAGACTTGGGAAAAATGGGTGTGTGGCCTGGGGGCCTGGAACAACCGCCGGGCCCCAAAACAGGGCCCGTGTAGCGGCCTTGGCATGCTACAAAAAGTCAGAAGCCATGGAGTGGAAGAGATCTACTAGGACAACAATGTCTTCCCCCTGTCAATGATAAATCCATTATTCTAAAAACTCACTGTAGGAATAATAATTTATCCTCAATATTAAATAGATTAAAAAATATAAATAGATATTTATTCATTATTCAACTTGTTATCAGTTCCCAACTTCCCAACCTGTCCCGGCCGGAGACTGCCACAGGCTGGTGAAGGATAGCAGTTCGTATGCAAAAATGTAAACACATACGCACGCTATGCATGTTATTTAGACACGACCCCCGACTGGCAACGCCTGCCCACCCCATGCATGTTATTCAGACACGACCCCCGACTGGCAATGCCTGCCCACCCCTCATCACCGTGACGAGGGACTGGTACAACCTTGCTCTTGCACCACGGCTGTGGTGCCAACCTACCCCGTGGGCTAGGGAGAGATCTGGGTTGGTTGGTCTTCCCCCATACTATACATAGACTAGCGAGAGGATGAGATAGATGCATACTACCAAGAAGATGAGATAAACAACCAAACCAAACCAAACCAAACCAAACCAAACCCCACCCCACCCCACCCCACCCCACCCCACCAACCCAACCCAACCCAACCCAACCCAACCCACCCAACCAACCAACCAACCAACCAACCAACCAACCAACCAACCAACCAACCAACCAACCAACCAACCAAACAAACAAACAAACAAACAAATTATCATAATAACATTTTAATTCTTAAACTATCATGATACTATTCTCGACTCCAAAAGAGTGCCATGAACATCATAAGCCATCCCATGTGGCTGGACTGGATGGCACACACATTCAACAGTTCACAAACAGCCACATGAGTTCAAATCCCAGTGGCATCCAGTGGATAGATATAATGAGGTTATGAGCTACTAGAGATCCAGCATATTCAGGTCCTATCCTTTGTTGTACTCCTGCAGAAATTTTTCTTTCTAACCATACAGTTACTAAGACGCCTAAAATCATTATTACTAGTAGTAAAACTATAGGTAAGAAGATTGATATTAAATAAGCTATATTTTCAGATATACCAAAATCTATCACTAATTTAATAGCGTTGAAAAATTTTTGAACACCTTCGTGGGTTTCATGTGACTCTTGTCACTTCAGCTAAAACCCAAAATGAAACTTCCATTTTGTGGAGCGGGTTTTNTAAAACCCAAAATGAAACTTCCATTTTGTGGAGCGGGTTTTTACAGAAAGAAGTTTAGCCATATGTCAAATCAAGTCATTAGAGATCAAAAACGTAGATTGCTCGTAGCTAAATATGAATTAAAACGCATGCAATATAAAGCGATTGCTGGATATTAGTAGATTGGACTATTTCAGAATTTAAAGAAGAATCATGCCTATTTTGAATTTCATTGAATGTATTTTCATGATTGCTGTTAAATTCATAGCTATGTAGAATGTTTTCTGTTCTAATTCTATCTATTTTCATCTATTTATATGATATATGATTGATTCCATTATATATTATTTCCAAATATTTTATTTATTAGATTTAATTTTAAAGTAATATATTTTATAAATTACTAATTGAGCCGATATATAAACAGTTTGTCACAGCCCCTCGTTTGTTGTCCTCTTCTCCCTCTCTGCCTACGGTTTACCGGGCAGTTCTATTTGACGATATATATACATATATATATAGTCAAACAGAGTTGCCCGGTAAACCGTAGGCAGAGAGGGAGAAGAGGACAACAAACGAGGGGCTGTGGCAAACTGTTTCGTTGGAGTTTCACCGACTCATCAGGAGGCTGAACCCTCAACAGTCTGCAGAATCCCCTAACTGATTACATATTATTATTATTATTATTATTATTATTATTATTATTAAACCACTACCTTTCCCATACATCGGCTGCGGAGCCCTCACCATGAGTTTTGGAGGCCGGAAACGCAACAAAGACCGCCGATGAAACGTATCAACGGCGGCACAATGGCGGCCTGGCCCCCAAAGAATGGGGTATAGGTTATACTCCCACTTGGGACTACAGCCTGAAACGTAGTGGTGGTTTCATCATTAACATTACAAAAATAAAAAAATCAATGGAAAAAAGAGCAGCGTACCGGCCTACTCACCTTGCACGCGTTCTTTGTCGCACACTCTAATCTCAGCTGATCACATGTCGTAATTTGAAACGCAAACCATCCCTCTTCGGCTATTTGCACGTCTTCGGGCGGAATGACAGCTGCCTCAACCACTTGCGCGATAGGAATCGTCCCCTGGGGATGTATGTCTGCACAACAAGAAAGGGGACGACAAAGTTTCGGAAAAGTTTTTATCAAAAACGATTCGCAAAAACTTGAAAAAGTTCAAAAAACATCAGCAAGTTGAAAAAGCCAAGGCGGGGCCAGGCGGGGAGGTGGAGGGGGGTGGAGGGAGGGGGGTGGGGAGAGCAAAAAAGAGCGCAAAAAGTTGCATGTAACCACCTGCATTTTAACATTACATTGAGAAAGGCGTGCCCCTGTGCACTGGCAGACAGTTCTTTCCCACTTCCCCCCCCTTTTTGTTTTTCCACTCAGGGCATACTCACACTAGGAGTTTTTCTATTAAGCTCTGGACGTTATTGTGGTCAGATTCATTCACGCTGGCCGTGATTGCGGTCGGATACATTTAGGAAAGTACTAGTGCGTGAGTATGCCGTCACTCATTTTTTTTCTTTTTCTTTCATGCAATCCCCCTTTTTCCCATTCTCCTTTTTTGACCTTTCAGCGACTACAATCGTTTTCATGAATGAAAACACATGTCTGGACTCTGGACCTATCAATACCTGCTCTCTCTCTCTCTCTCTCTCTCTCTCTCTCTCTCTCTCTCTCTCTCTCAACGTGTTTTGTACGATCGATCTGTTCAATGTTCACCTCGATTTTTATTTATTTATTTATTTTTTAATCAAACACACCTCCATGTTGAATACTCTTCTACTTTAAGAATATCTGCGTGCGTGAAGAGTGTTTTTTTTTTTTTTTTTTTTTTTTTTTTTTTTTTTTTTGTTTTTTTTTTTTTTTTTTTTTTTTTTTTTTTTTTTTTTTTTTTGGGCAGTGGGGATACTTCTCTCTCTGCTATGTCTCATCTTTTGTCTCTTGCGAGTCGTTGCGACCGCATACTCTCACGTGAAGACTGTGGTACCTTTCGTGGCAGGAATCTGGTCCTAATTGCACTCCCGTACATCCAGGAAAGCTCCAGTGTGGCCATCCCCTCTGGCGCTTCGGACCTCTCCACTACCCTCTCCTTCATGCATGGAACTGGTTACTATAAGTCCCTTGCTCCATTTTGTTTCTTTCTTTTTTTGGTCCTCCGACATCCTCTGTTTTTTCTTTTTTTTTTTTTCTTTCTCCTTTTCTTTTTCTTTTTCTTTTTTTGTCAAACAGTGATTTGGTTGGCCCATGAATGGCTATATTCCGTTTTGAAAAATCCCCAAAAATCCAAACCATTCGATTCAATTTGATTTGATTTGTCCATTGCACACAAGAGATACATACAGTTTTTAAAAGAAGGGCATTTCATACACATTGCCTGACTTATGGCGTACTCACATTAGCAGTTTTATAGATGTATCTGACCACAATTAGAGCCGGAACCGGACGCGTCTGACTGCTATCACGTCCAGAGCTCAGTTGAAAAAGTCCTAGTGTGAGTATATACCCT